CCTTTCTGCACTTTCTGCCATTGTCCTGGTCATGTGATTGATCGCTGCTACAAGAAGCATGGCTATCCAAATAGCATGAAACCATCTCACAAATCTGATACAATGGTTTTTTCTTTATCTGCTAATGTTGCAGTGATTGATAATTCTCCACATGATGATCACAGTGTAGAGGACCTGTCTCCCACTCAAATCCAGCAACTTGTTTCATTCCTCAGCACCAAACTTCAGACTTCAACGGTTAATCCCACTCCATAAGTTCACTCAGTCTTAGTTTCTATACCTTCTTCTTCGGCCACTTGTCCAATATCCGGTAAATTTTACCCCTCTATCCTTTGTTCTTTTACCGCTATTGATTGGCCTTATGTCTGCTCTTTAACTAACAATGCTACTGCATTAAACGCTTGGGTGATTGACTCCGGGGGTACTAATCATATTTCTCATCAATGATCCTGTTTTATCTCTTTCAAATCTCTCCATGATACTACTGTATCTTATCCTAATGGAGTTCTGGTTAACATCGTTGGTGTAGGAACCATAGCCTTAGGTAGATACCTAATCCCTCGTGGTGTCCTGTATATTCCTCAGTTTAAGTTCAACCTTTTAAGTGTTAGTATCTTACTAAGGGATTACACTGTCGGGTTTGGTTTGACGAATCTTCTTGTGCCATTCAGGATCATACACGGGGATTAATGATTGGAATGGGTAGAGAGATCTCCAACCTGTACTTCTTAGAGCTCAAATATTGTCTTCTTCAGATACTTTACAAAATGTCATCGTTGTTTCAGTTTCTAGTGTCGCCTTATAGCATAAAAGATGACATCATCCCTCTTTGTCTAAAGTTGAGTCTATGCAGTCTGTTTTAGATTTCCCTAAGCAGCAAACTAAAGGTGATTCTCATTGTAAAGTTTGCCATATATCAAAGCAAAAACATCTCCCTTTTATATCAAATAATAATCTTAGTCCTCAATCTTTTGACCTGATTCACATTGATACTTGGGGACCATTCTCTACACCTACTCACAATGGTTTTAAGTATTTGTTAACCCTTGTAGATGATTGTTCTAGAGCCACATGGGTTTATCTACTAAAGAACAAGTCTGATGTCCTCACCATCTTTCTCGGGTTCATAGAAATGATAGAGACTCAGTTTGATAGGAAACTTAAGGCGGTTAGATCCGACAATGCTCCAGAACTCAAATTTACTTCTCTTTTCCAACCAAAAGGAATTCTCTCTTTCCATTATTGTCCTGAAGCCCCTCAACAGAATTCTGTTGTGGAGCATAAGCATCATCACATTCTCAATGTTGCTAGAGCTCTTTTATTTAAATCCCACATTGCTCTTCCATACTGGATGAATGTATTCTCACTGCAGTTCACTTAATCAATCATCTTCCTGCTCCAGTCCTTAACAATTGGTGTCCTTTTGAAGCTCTTACTAACAAATTACCAGACTATACTCAACTTAAAACTTTCAGGTGTCTTTGTTATGTTTCAACTTCCCCTAAGAGCATACTTAAGTTTGACCCTAGAGATCGTGCTTGTGTTCTCCTTTGTTACCCCTCGGGAACAAAAGGTTACAAACTTCTTGGTCTTGAGAACAATTCTATTGTTATCTCTCGTCATGTAGTCTTTCACGAAGATCTCTTTCCATTCGTTGGTACTGATATTTCTTATACTTTCATTGAGTTTTTTCTGATCAGATACCAACACATGCTCATGTGAATCATAATGCTCCAGACATTGAGATGACTTCTTCTCTCATATCTTCTTCACAAACTAAAAATGATGATGAACCTTTTTTTCATTCATCACACATGAGATTTAAAAAGCATGCTTATCTTCAAGATTACTATTGTAATACAATAGGATCTTCAACCCTTCATGAAATATCTTATTCCCTTCCTTATGATAAAGTGTAACCACATTATATTTCTTTTCTTGTTGCTATTGATAAAATCAAAAAACCCTTAACCTATGTTGAGGCTAAGAAACTTCTGGTGTGGAATGATCCAATGGATGAAGAGATTGATGCTCGGGAAGGAACAAGTACATGGACCATTTGCCTTTTGCCGGCTGATAAAACTCCTATTGGTGGTAAATGGGTCTTCAAAGTGAAATTCAATGTTGATAGAACAGTTGAGAGATACAAAGCTCGATTGGTGGCAAAAGGGTACACACAACAAGAAGGATTTGACTTTCATGATACCTTTTCTTCTGTGGTTAAGCTTACCACTGTGAAATTGCTCTCTCGACCATTCATGGTTTTTTCACTTAATTAGCTGGATATTTCTAATTCTTTTCTAAGTGGGGAACTCGATGGGAAATTTACATGCGACTTCTTTCTGGATATGCACAAAGAAAGGGGGACCCTTTACTTCCAATTGCTGTTTGCAAACTTGAAAAATCTATGGTCAAGCAAGCTTCTAGGCAATGATTTCTCAAGTTCTCCTCCATACTCCTTTCTTTGGGTTTTATCCAGACTCATTCAGATCATACTTTCTGTGTGATTGTTTACATTGATGACATCATCATCTGTAGTAACAATGATTTCAAAGTTGATCTTTTGAAATCTCAGCTCAAAGATCATTTCAAGCTTCGTGATTTAGGCCTTATGAAATACTTTCTTGGCCTGGAAGTAGCTCGTTCTTCATATGGGATTCATGTTTGTCAGCGTAAATATGCTCTTGAGATGCTTGTTGATAGAAGGCTTCTTGGTTGTAAAAAATCTAGTGTGCCCATGGATCCTTCTATCAAGTTGACTTCTTATCCTAAGGTTAATCCTTCTGATCTTCCTGTTGATGTTGAAGCGTATCGTCATCTTATTTGTAGATTGATGTACTTACAGATTACACGTCCTGACTTAATCTTTGTTGTCAATAAGCTCAGTAACTTTTCATCTGCTCCTCGACAGAGTCATCAAAAGGCTCTCATGAAAGTTTTGCATTATGTCAAAGGGACTGTTGAACATGGCTTATTTTATTCTTCTCGCGCTTAGATGCAGATTCAAGCATTTGCTGATGCTGATTGGAGCTCATGTCAGGATTCTCGTCGCTCCACTTCTGGTTTTTTGCATTTTCATTGGCACTTCACTCATTGCGTGGAGATCTAAGAAACAGAAGGTGGTTGCAAAGAGTTCTGTTGAAGCAGAATATCGAAGTCTCTCTGTCGTTTTTGATGAGCTTTTTTGGTTACATAACTTTCTCATTGAGTTATGTATTCCTTTGGGTAAGAATACTTTGCTATTCTGTGACAATACTACTGCTATACACATCGCTCACAGTTCTGTTTTCCATGAACTTACAAAGAATTTGGAAATTGATTGTCATAGTGTGCGAGAAAGGCTGGTTCAAGGTTTGTTCACATTGCTACATGTGCGAACAGAGCTGCAATTAGTTGAACTTTTCGTGAAGCCTTTGTATCATGTACCTTTTAAGAAGTTGTTTGACAAGATGGGTCTTATAAATATATTCGTCCCTTTTTGAGGGTGACTATTATCCTATACTAGTATCAATTTCTCTTGTATCGAATGTATCATTTGTATAGCAAGTTGAATCTTTTGTATAGCAATAGATATGCGTATGTGCATAGTATAAATACCACACTTGTACATTGAAAGTTAATTAATGAGAATCAATTTATTTTACTCATAGAACCTGAAAGGGTATGGGATTGTCAAACTGTGGAGCTAGAAAAAAATGATAGTTTCACCCTCCTCACTCCCTATTTTGAGGTAAATAGTTAATGGCGACTTCATCATAGGACCCAGTGGCCCATCATGAGATTCGATGTCTCTCAGTACATAACACTTGCAGACTATGACTACAGCTTAGTGAGACATGAGCAGCAGTAACTAAGGCTATATAAAGTCTTGCCTTCTTTTGTTTGGTCACTAACAAAAGTCTTGGCTTCTATTTTGTAGAATCGAAATGTCTATAGAATGGACCATATGGATTGTATTGAGCAAAAGAGAACACAAACCAGATGTGAGAGTATAGCATCATTGAGTGTGTAACCGTTAACCCTTCATTTGCATTACCAATGGCTAATTGTACATCTTTCTTGATTTGCAATCAAAGGGAGACTATTGAAAATCGTTTCATACGTCAACTTTTCTTTTTTAAAAACAAAAATCACCTTTGAAACTAATCGAGACTATTGAAAATCGTTTCATACGTCAACTTTTCTTTTTTTTTAAAAACAAAATCACCTTTAAAACTAATCACTGAATTACCATTTTTCAGAGATACTTGTTCACTTATCATTTACTCTTTGTTAGAAATGTAAATATTAGTTGTGGTTTGTCTCTGCGTATTAGTGGTTAAATGTGTGCTTTTATTAAAATTTTCGGTTTCAAATATATTCAAAACACATGTCATATAAATTTTTCCATTTTCACAGGTGAATTGATATAACTACTATTTGGCTGAATTTGTCAATCATTTGGTCGCTTAAATGGACAAGGTGGGTCCGTATGGAGAGAAGGCTGTATGGTGAACCAACTTGTCAACAGATCCAATTTAATGTATCCTTGGACAAAAGAGATTAGGCTACTAATCAGACTTGACATTGCATAGAATTTTTATTACAAGACTAAAATGATACTATATGGTTGTGTTGAATTAATGAATGAGCCTTAGGATAGTATGAGTGAACACAACACGTTTTCTTTTGGTCAAAACAGTTGCTGACTAAATGGTTGATTTTTGGTAAATAAACTCGTTAGCGAAACAATAAAAAGAAAAAAAAAAATATCCACCTAAATTTAATCTCAACGAACTTTCAGTACACATAAATTGAATTTGGTTTCACCCCAAGTTTTGGTAGATTTATCTTTAGTTTATCATGAAAACATCTGACGTCACAAAAGCCCTATATATTTAAAATTAATTTAAATGGTATTTAAATACTATCAAATATCACATGCTTAATTAAATGTGGCCAAGTGATGCAGATGTAGTATATATTTGTACAATCTCTCAACATGTTACGAAAGTGAGAGAGAGACACAAGAGTCTCTCTTGCATTAAAGTGATCTTCACACACTAAAGTCCACTAATCAATGTCTTAACTGTATTTCAATTTAATGCTCATATCTATTTATAATCATATCTCCCTCCTCAACTAACCCACTTAACCAAAAAAGAATCATGTTTACGAAACCGATCCTCTTAGCTTCTCTTCTCCTCACCATCTTCGTCTCCGCAACTCACTCAGCTCGTCAGAAGAGCGGTAACAATGGCTTAGGATTCGGCGGAGTACCCGGATCCGGATATGCCGGGATACCCGGGTTTGAAAACGGGTTTCCGGGTACCGGAGTTGGCGGTGGATACGGCGGAGGGTACGGTGGTCCGAGCGGCGGGTACGGGAAAGGAGGTGTGGTGAGGCCGACGGTGACTTGCAAAGAGAAAGGACCTTGTAACGGCAAGAAGCTGAGGTGTCCTGCCAAGTGTTTTAGCTCTTTTAGCCGCTCCGGGAAAGGATACGGCAGTGGAGGCGGAGGTGGTGGATGTACCATGGATTGTAAGAAGAAGTGTACCGCTTATTGTTAAAATAATAATAATAACCCCATCTTTATAATATATAGTCATTATAATGATTATATATTGCTACTATCTTATTGTAGTTGATGATCGTGAGGATCCTTCTGTATTCGATTGTAGTTTTTTTATATGCATAATATATGGTTGTGACTAAATAAATGAGGAAGCTTTAGGGCTTTCTCAATTTGTGTGTTTGTTGTATGAGAGATTGTGATTTTTTTTTTTTTGTGGTTTATCTTTATTATTATGATCTTGATTAATACACTGAATCGATTGAAATTGATTATTGTTCAGATAGTTTTGTTTCTATTAAGCCTTGATCATGATCCTTGTCTGGACAGAGACAGGGATCTTAACATCATGAACACCATCAGTCCATGTCAAGCTTCCAAACAAGTAACCAGTGTTGCCTTTATGACTCGTTTTAGCCTTCACCGTGAAAGAGAGCACCTTCTTATCTTCGGAGCTAAACACGAGTGTGGTCGGGTTGACAGTGAGAGTAATGCCGAGAGGAGACTCGATAACAGCTCTGTAGACTGACTTGATGGGTCCAACATTGGTTACAGTTCTTGTGAGTGTGACTTCTTGCTCAAGATTTGGGATTGTTATTGAAGGTAAGTTCATATCAAGAATTGATGGTTTAGGAGTTGGACAGTTAGTCTTTTTACCGACCACACGAGAGATTGAAGAGTCGTTATAACCTTTGGAACACATATAGTTGATGTAATCTTGGATCCCCATATCGTAGACAAGTCCTGGTTTTGCAGCTCTTTCAGGGTTTACAAGACCTCCACCATAGTCAAATGGATCTGCAAGCTTCTTGTTTGATCCTTCAGCAAAAATAGGTTCACCAGATGGACTTGTTCTCCAAGCTTCGAAAGACATCAGTTAGTCGGTTTTGTTTGCGTAATTAAAGAAGAATAAATAGGTGAAGAACTAAGCAAGAACCTGTTGTGACCAAAGCTGATCTAAATGCAGCAGGAGACCAGTTAGGGTGTAGAGACTTGAGTAGAGCTATGATTCCTGAAACAACAGGAGTCGACATCGATGTCCCTGAATCCAGTCCAAAGCCATCATGTCCGTCAGGATTAAGCGGACTCATTGCCGCGAGTATGCTCACACCAGGAGCTGCTATATCAGGCTATAGACTAAACCGTGATCAATGATCTAGTTTCAAAATTAGAAGTAAACATAGACTTGAGACACAAGCTTTGTCTATAACCTTGAGAATGGCTGGTGAAACAGAGTTAGGCCCTCTAGATGAGAATGCAGCAACCTTTGTAGTTGCTGGCAGACCGGTTAATGTCGTAGCCGGGCTTAGTTTCACCGTGGGAGATCTGAGGATTAATGATATATGTGAAGAAAATAATATATAACTTTATAAACAGAGTTTATGTGCTTCAAGATAGAGGACCTGGTGGTACGTATGTATTGCAAAATGGTGGTCCCAAGCTCGTAATCAGTATAAATGCAAGGAAATGCATCACATCGAATAAGAAGGTCATCAGGATGTTGGGCGCAGATGACTCCTGCTACACCTTTGTCTGCAACTTGATAGCGATATTCGAAAACAAGAACTATTTTTCCCTTCAAATCAACCTTATCATCACTCTCTTCATCCCGAAAAGCTAAACCGGTTGAAATCTCCGATCCAGTGAACAGAGACTCACCCTAATTAGAATCACCAACAAGTAACAAGAAGTTAAGAAAAAAAATGGTCAAAACTTTTGAATTCTCTTTTGACTAATTTCAGTTTCTTGCGTTAAAAGATATTAACATACGAAGAGAGTTTGGTTATTGCCAAGTGTGATCTTTGTAGGAAAAAACCGGTCAAGAGTAGTTGCAGCAACGGTCAAGAGCCAAGGAGCAGCATTGGCAACAGTCTGAGAACTAGGCCCATCATTACCAGCCACAGACACAACCGGAATCCCACTAGCTACTGCATGAAACGCCCCGATGAAATCGAGTTTATCGACCTCGGTGTCCTCTGGAATGTTCCCGGAAATAGAAACAGACAAAACATCAACTCCGTCATGTATAGCATCATCAAAAGCCTTCCACATATCAGCCATTGAGCATCTTCCAGGCTCTGGCATTGTGTTCCAACACACCTTGTAAGAGGCTATGCGGGCCCGAGGAGCACCACCTCGGACCGTACCTTAGAAGAGTCCATCAATGGTTAGGACTGATAATGAAACAAACAAACTATTGTCTTATAAAACCCGTAGCTTCACGCCCAAGCTAGCTTTTGCTGTGAATACTATTGTTTTTCTAAAAATGTAAATATTACTTCAAAAAATGAAAGTTGAGATTTTAACTGAATATAATACTCCTCAGCATGGTTCCAGTGCAAGAAAAAAAAACAGAAAAACATGGAAGATACTAAAAAGGCTGGTTTAGGGTTTATTCAAAAGTTGATTTAGGGTTTAGGATTATATATCAGTACCTCGGGCTAGACCATAGAAGCTCACGTTGGGAACAAATGAGCCAGCTGCTATTGTGGCTGTATGCGTACCGTGACCGATTGCATCCCTGTTGGATTTGAATTCTCCGACTTTTGATGTATTGAACTTTCCTCCCCTCTCGGCTAGAAGGCCGTTTAGGTAGTACTTAGCTCCTATTAGCTTTTTGTTGCAATGAATTGTGGCGTTAAACTTTTCTCCTGATTCACATTTTCCTCTCCAACGCTTAGGTATTGGTCCAAGGCCTTGATCGTTGAAGACCTTTGACTCCGGCCATATTCCTTTATAAAATACAACATGATGTGAGACAAGGATATATATAATATATATTTATATACAGAGAGAGAGTGTGTGTAGATAGAGACCAGTATCCAAGACGCCGATGATAGCTTCACTGCCCATGTTGGTGTCATGAAGAAGACCTTTTACAGATGTTGATGAAGCAGGAAAATAAGTTGGAATTGCAGTGAGGCCAAGGTGATCCCAAGTTCTTGTGGTTCGCAGTTTCAGAATCCGGTTTGGTATAACATGTATTACTTCTGGATGGTCTGTGCAAGATTGCGGTTAAAAAAAAAACCCAAAGATCTCTAATGCTCAGTGATATGAAGTTTCGTTAATTTGAGTTCTGATGAGTACCTGATATTTTCTTTGCTTGGGAAGACGTAAGAAGTGCTGCGAATCCGGAAAATCCATGTTGATAGCTGTAGATCATTGACTTATGTGCGTCTTCTTTGCTATATGTAACATGAGAGATATAAGTGAGATAAAAACCTCATAATAATAGGCATAAAAAGAATAACAAAAACAGATTAGCGCCTTGGTTCCGTGAAGAAACAGAGCATGGTGAGAGATTTTCTTGAGAGGCAAGAAACGAATATAATCATCAACCTACCAGATTCCAACAGATTATGTTTGTTGAATATAATCAGCAACTTTGATGTCACAGTCACTATACATATAAATTATCTCTTTAGAGATATGCCTTTTTAAAGGTGATTAAGTACCTTTCAAGAAGTGATTCAAGCATCTGATGATGAGAGGCTGTAACAAGTTCGGGATCATCATTTTCTCTTTGGCCAAGATAAACTATATAAACCTATAGAATTCTTGAAAATATTACATCAGAATAAAATAAAACTCAGTAATCTCTTAGCAAATAGGGAAATGTCTTTTTGCGTTACATGCCTTGCTGTTGTTGTCTAGGGCTCTTGCATGTGTAAGAAAACTCAGCTCTGTGTTAACAAATATGACCAAAAAACATGTCAATAGAAGCACAAGTTTGTAACTTTGTAAAGAGTACCTCTCCATTTTCACAAGTGAGAAAAATGAGAAGTGTGTGTGTGTGGCACAGAAACCTATGTGGTTATTATATATGTAAAGAATTCATTGTATTTCAATTCACAGTTTGTGACCCACCTCACCACCACTATTAGATGTGGGGTTTTTATTAGACTTGAAATCAGTTGGATTCAATGTTCGGTGCATTTAGCTCGGTTTGAGAGGAATGTCATACCCAAAAGTCAGAAATAATGTTATTCAGGCTAGTTTGTTTTCTTTCTAATATTGATTTATCTATTATAAATTATAAAAGCTATTATACTTAAATAGATAACCGATAGCTATTATCTAATTTATGTTTAACAATACTATTTATACTACACTGAGCTGTACTTCCACCAAAGCCAGCTTTTAAGAGAGCCAACTAAAACATATGCCTTAAGAGCATTTCCAAAAGTTTAGTGTTTAAAGAAAAAGAACATTTTCAAAAGCAATTTCATTTTCTAAGGTGTCAAAACTTTAAATTTAAATTTGAGAGTGATTCTCTGCAGAAGAACAACTTCAAATTTAATGTTTACATTTTACACTATAGTCTGATAAAGTTAATATTTTTTGATATCTTTTCATTTTAAATATAAATATAAATATTTTAGAAAATTGTAGCAAATTTGTTGAAAAGGATTTTAAAAGATCTCAATTTAAAAATCTTATGTAATTTTTTCAGTAATTTCGTAATTAATAATAAATTATTATTATACATTAATATATATTAATTTATTGTTTATAAAATGAAAATAAAACTTTTAACCTATTTTATTAATTTTATAATCATAATCTATCATATTAAACTAATTGTTATACTGAATTAAATAGGATAAAAATATACTAAGTTGAAAAATTAATATATTTTATGTTAAATATGTTGTATCATGCATATATTAATCCAATTAATAAAAAAATGTAACTTCATCAAGATAAATATATGATAAAAAGAGACAAATACATGTGACGATTTGAAATAACTGATTAAATACAACATGTAAAATTATAGTATTTGAAATAATTACAAACTTTTAAACATATGCTTAACATATATATATATATAATATAAGTGAAATCAAACATCCGCACGGTTGCGTGGATTAAAATCTAGTTAAATCTGTTAAAGTCTAATGGTGAGTAAGGAAAAAAAACACGTTTTTAGTGAGACCTAATAAAATTAGTTAAAACTTTTACTTTATTTTTCTATTAAATTTAATACTCTTTTTCTTCATATTTTTACTTATTTCTATCTTTTTCAAAAAAATAATTTAAAGGTAAGTGGAAGCTTCCGTTGTTTTATCTTGCTTTAAACCCAGTTGTTTCAGGATCACTCATGCTTACACCGCACTGAACTGTTTTATAAACATCAACATATAATAGCTTCACATAGTTGCATAACTTGCATTCGTTTTTATGTTGGTTTGAGAGAACAAATTAGTACAGAGAACAATAGAAATACAATCAAATACAAAGGTAAAATTAAAAAAACATTACAAGACAAAGATTGAAATCTGAAAAAGTTTTCTTTGCATTCATCTTGTTTCTCTTTATGCAATACCATTCATATTTGGCTATCCACTACAAGAAAACATAGCGATGCTGAGGGAATTTCCGAGGGAACGTTGATTCCTCGGAATTTTCCGATGATATTCCGAGCAAATTCCTAGGAAACACAATTTATGTGTTTCCTCGGAATTTCCTCGGAATATACCTAGGAAATTCCGAGGAACACACTTTCCCTCGGAATTTTCCGATGAAATTCCAAGGGACAAAAGTCCCTCGAAATAAACCGAGGAAAATCCGATTAGAAATTATAGCCGTTAGTTAGCCGTTAGTTAGCCGTTGTGGTATTTCAAAAATTTCGAGGAAATTACGACGGCAACGGCTAGTGCCTCAGAATTTCCTGGAAATTTCGTGGGAATTGTCGGCAGATTTCATCTATAAATACAAGCACCCCTCATCCTCTTCATTCACTCCATATCTTCATCCTCTCCCATTCTATTTTGCACACACGAATCTGATTGAAAAAACATGTCTTCTTAAAATTATCATCGCTCGTGGATCGATCGACCTCATATGGATCCGAACACGAGATTGCTTACGCCAGAATTCGAAAGTGGTCTAAAGGAATTCATGGGGAAAGCTCTCAACCAAACGGAAGCTGAAACGGGTATGTTAAGATGTCCTTGCTCCACTTGTAAAAATAGGAAGGTTATTAAACAGTTAGATGTTTGGACTCATCTATATATTCGAGGGTTTACACGGAGTTACAAAGTTTGGTATCATCATGGGGAAACTGGTTATAAATATGGTAGTACTAGCGAACCTCAGCCTGCGGTTAGGTTAGAAGAACCAATTAGAACGGACGTAGATTATGGTGTAGGTACTGAGCAGATGGTAAATGATCATTTTAGAGGGGAAGATTTACCCAATGCAGAAGCTAGGAGATTTTATGATATGCTGGATGCTGGAAAGCAACCTTTGTACGAAGGTTGCAGAGATGGTCATTTAGCTTTATCATCTGCAACAAGACTGATGAGCATTAAATCCGATTATAATTTGGCTGAAGACTGTGTGGATGCGATTGCTGATTTTGTAAAAGGTGTTCTACCTGAGGATAATGTTGCCCCTGGTTCATACTACGAGGTTCAGAAACTGGTAGCTGGTCTTGGTTTATCGTATCAGGTAATAGATGTATGCAGGGATAACNAAATCCGATTATAATTTGGCTGAAGACTGTGTGGATGCGATTGCTGATTTTGTAAAAGGTGTTCTACCTGAGGATAATGTTGCCCCTGGTTCATACTACGAGGTTCAGAAACTGGTAGCTGGTCTTGGTTTATCGTATCAGGTAATAGATGTATGCAGGGATAACTGCATGATTTATTGGAGGGCGGATGAGCAGCTGGATACATGCAAGTTTTGTGGGAAGGCTCGTTATAAAGATACGAGTGGAAGAGTTCCAGTGCCATATAAAAGGATGTGGTATTTGCCTTTGACGGAAAGGTTGCAGAGGTTGTATCAGTCTGAACGCACAGCGCAACCAATGAGATGGCATGCGGAGCATTCAACGGATGGTGAGATTAGACATCCTTCAGATGCAAAAGCTTGAAAGCATTTCCAGTCGACCTATCCAGAATTTGCGTATGAGAGAAGAAATGTCTACCTTGGATTATGTACGGACGGTTTCAGCCCATTTGGGAAGCATGGGAGACAGTATTCTCTATGGCCAGTCATTCTCACACCATACAACTTACCGCCAAACTTGTGCTTGCGTCGAGAGTTTTTGTTTCTCTCCATTCTCGTTGCCGGGCCAGAGCATCCTAGGAGATCACTTGATGTGTTTCTACAGCCACTAATATATGAGTTGCAACAGCTATGGGGTCAAGGTGCTGAAACGTACGATGTTTCGTGTAAAGAAAACTTCCAAATGCGGGCAGTACTTATGTAGACAATAAGTGATTTTCCAGCATATGGTATGTTATCTGGATGGACAACGCATGGAAGGCTATCATGTCCATATTGTCAAGATAACACTGATGCTTTCCAACTAAAACATGGAAGGAAAACGTGTTGGTTTGACTGTCACAGGAGATTCCTACCACCAGATCATCCATATCGCAGGAGTAGGAATTTGTTTACGAAGAAC